AAGCATGTTTCCCGCGAAAGCCTGCTTATGAATTCGATAATTGCAAGTCTACGTTGAATACAATTTAAAGAACCAGGAACGTAACGTTCGAAATGGAGGAGTATCTATCGTTAGGTGTTCCGGTTTTCAATGCCGGAGAAAGCAAAGTTTACCAAGCGCCGAACATTGAAACGAACGGTTTCCGCATCGGTTTCAGCCCGGTGGGTTCTTTGAGCAAGGGGCCCGGTAAATAAGGACTCGATTAAATTCTACTATCTCTCTTCACAGCCGGCTCCCGTGGAATGACCACGCTGCCGCACCGACCAGAACCTCAGAATCCCTTTCTCTTTTTGTCTCTCCTTTGCCGCAGGATTTTTCCCTTATTTTTCGAGTCCGGTTGTGTTTGCCAGCCTTTCGAAGAGAACCCGGTATTTATAGCCAGGCTAGAAATGACGTTGACAGACGAGGACAAACTTGGTTTCGATGGATCCGCGCTAAGGAAATGTTCAAATTTCGAAATCCGATCAACGTTTAATCAAACGTGCAACATTAATGTAGTTCCTTATTAAACATACATCCTTTATAATAATAAATAAAGGAAATGAGGTAGATAAGTTTGTTTCTATGCATTATGATTTTAAATAAAAATTGTTTAAAATTAGAAACTGTATCGACGTACTAAAAAAATGTAACATGACTCCTAATGAAACGTATATTCTTTCTCATAATAAATCAAGTTAATGAATAGCGCCACCAATATTCCACGCGTTCTGCGCAAACGTAATTACCCCGAAACGTTACCGTCAAACGAAATTATCTTCACGCATCGGCTGGGCGAATAAAAAAAGAAATATACATTTCACGTGTCAGGAATTCGAGCTGCGGACGCGAGAGAGTGGAGAACAATGAATTTCGCGTTATACAACTTTATGAAAGGCCAGACGAGTTCAAAATCCCGCAGCCTGTTATATGGTAATAACGAACTCTACCCGCGTGTAGTTCGAATAATGAAGATAATACTATCGTCATGAGTGTATTGTATTTTAACATTCTTATATCTCCCCTCAGCCTTCTATTATTGGTATTGCTTGTTTTCGTCATGCAAATATGGAAAGAACTGCACAAATCATTTATAATTAAAAATTGTCAATTGTTAATTTGATCCATATTGTAATACTTCATAAAATATTTAATAAAATGTTTCATACATATAATAATTGATACAGTAATTTATATACTAATTGATAACTGATGACTTGATATAATATTTAATACAATTAATGAAAAACTGTGTACATAATGTATAAACTAATAACGCAAATGGCTGATTAAAATAAGTCGTGATCGCGATAGTATTTGTAAATGAACATTTGAAAAGATTGATGCAAACACTATCGGATAGA